CATCTAGTTTTCCAGCTCCGACCCCGTTACCTTTGAGCGGTCTCTTGCCTCAGCCTCCAGGCTGGGTGGTCTATGTGGATGCGGCTCAGAGGCTAATAATTAAATGCTTTGGGGGCTGCAGGAGCAATGACATCTCGCTTGGTAAACTCCGCTGATTACCGGGGGGAGGTTAACAGCCCTGCCGGAAACCCCCTTCCAGCCCTCCTTGGAGGTTCCCTCTGCCGCTTCCAGAGTGGATCAACCTGCGGGCTGTGGACTTGGCCACCCGGGATGGCCACTTACTTTTATCCAGCCGGACCACTTCCTCCCGAGCCTCGTGACAACTGTTGGTGCAGACGGCCAGGGTCTTAATGGCGTAACGGGGTGCTGTCTGGCCTCCGGCCTGGGTTTCAGAGGGAAATGAGAGAGAAAATCAATCTGAGCCTCACTTTGGGCCAGATTCCGCGGGGAGCAGCTGCGATTCGACAGGTGGTTTTCCGGCCCTGTGAGACAGACTTCCCCCCGGGGCTGGCTGGTGCTACCTGGGGAAGGGCTGAGAGGTAAGGATGCTGTCGCTGGGGCAGCTCTACCCTCGAGCGGCATCTGACCCTCAGAGCAGGGGGGCTGGCAGATAGTTGAGCGAGGGAGACATCGTGGCCTGGATCACTTTAAAGGGTGGCACTGATGAAACACACAATATTCTTCTAGTTCCTTGAGGCTTCCTCACCCACCACCCATGAGCCCAGTAATGCCTCTCACTTCGGACGAGAACAGAGCTTGTACACAGGCGTGGATTAGAGATACGAGCTCAGGACACACGCAGCCCAGGAGCAGGAATGGAAATAGCAGTACCAGATGGGAAGGGAGGAGGGGGGATGAGAGGAGAAGGGGGAACCGATCACAATGATCGACACACAACCACCCCCCCCTCCAGGGGGAAGAACAAGGGGAAACATGAGGGAAGGGAGACAGAGGTCTGTGCGAGATAAGAAAATAATAATTTATAATCTATCAAGGGGTCGTGAGGATGGGGAGGGGGGGAAGGGGAAAAAAGAGGAGCTGCTCCCAAGGGCTCAATCAATAGAAAGTAACTGTCTAGAAAAGAATGATGGCAACATATGTACAAATATGCCTGATACAACTGATGAATGGATTGTAAGAAGCATTGTAAGAGCCCTCAATAAAATGATCCAAAAAATAAAATAACATAAAGAGTGGCGAGGGTCCCCTGCAAGCTCTGTAGAGGGCACTTGTGTGCGGAGCCACGTCACAAAGCCCCACCCACGTGCACACTGGCTGCCAGTCCTCTGGCTGCTGCTGGGGTGTGGAGGCCACGTCACTAACTCAGACTCACTGCCGTCTGTGCCTGCCATCCTGCATCTGCCCCAACGGTCACCCCCTCTCGGTCTGGGGTGCTGTGAATGACCTGCTTCCTGTGGGTGGGGGTGTCACAGGTACACATACGTGGGCGAGTGCCCTTTCAGGTGGACCTGGTTCAAACTGCTGGTGCGGTGCCCTCAGACCCTGCACGCGTTTATGGGGAACACAGCATCCTTCCGTCGTGTGAAGACCTGGCCCCTGCTTGGCTCACAGATGGTGGCCACGGACACCCGAGTAACCGGGGGACACCGGGAGCCAGTAAACGGGACTGAAAGGAAGGGCCTGCTTGGAAACCCTGCTGAAAGCCACTCGGGGCCACCTGATCAATAGGAGCAGCTGCACCCTATTGCTTTAGTCCTTTCTCTCTTTCCATTGCAGGTTTCTGGCTGGTTTGTTTGTTTGGTTTGGATTTTCCTCTTCTCCTTCACATGCCCTGATGACCACAAACCTTCCGGGCCCGGGACTGGATTGGGCAGCTAAGAGCTTTCATCCAGCTGGGCGCACACGGTCTTTGTCTTTTCATGGCTAACTCATTTTTCTGGGCAAAATGCTCACGCCTCAGCCTTGTCGGCAGGTCTGCACTAGAACTTCATCCCCTCTCGAGGCGGGTTCCTTTTCTGTCGTCCTTTCCCATTCTGTGCTCTGGACTGTTAGCAAGAGGCCGGCATTGGAAACCACCCGCGGCTCTGCAGGAGAGAGGGCTTTCTACTCTGGCTCAGAGCGACAGTCTGGGAAACGCACGGGGGCAGTGCTACCCTGTCCTGTAGGGTCGCTGTGAGTCAGAATGGGAGAGAGATTCCTTTGTTGGTGGACACTGGGCACCTCCACCTTTTGACTACTGTGAGTGGTGCTGGGAGGGTCACCGGCCTCTTCTCTTGGTGACTTGGGGTTTACATCTAGCTGAGTTCTACGATATTCTATGTTTAACTTTCTGAGGATCCAGCAGACTGCTTGTCACAGAGGCTGGATCATCTTACATTAGCACCAGTGGAGAATGAAGGCCCGGTTTTCTCCACATCTTCACCCTGAATCCCAACTCCAAGTTCACTGCCACTGCGGGTTTCCCACACTGTAATTCTTTACGGGAACAAAGGCCTCATCTTTCTCTGGGGGAGTGGCTGATGGCTTTGAACCGCAGACTTTGTAGTTAGCACGCTAACATGTAACCCACGGCAACACTAGGGGTCCTCATCTTTGCCGAGAGGCCAGATACTTTTACGTTAGGCTTAAGTGAGAGGCAGGTTTTGTGGAGGCACCTAAGGGCCAGTCTAATGATCAAGCCATTCTTTTTTTGATGTTCAGAGCGCTGTCCAGGTGGACAAGCAGAAGCGAGTCCTTATAGAAGTCCCTTAAGGAATTCATAATGGGAGAGAGAGGGAAAGAGAGAGAGAGAGAGAGAACCTCATCATGGCCACCAAGCCTGGGGATTATATCCCTGCTTGGAGTAGCCAATTCACAAAGAGGACGGTAGAGCCGGCCCCACCACGAGACACGATGTTCCCTCACTGACCCATAGTGCTATGAAGGACAGCACTGGACACACTGTGCAGAAAGTGTGCCCAGTTTGCCCCATGCACAGCCGGGTGAAACGCAAAGGGAGTGCAAGAGGGCAGCAAGGGGAGCAAAGTAACCCAGTCCCCAAGGAACCCTGAAAACAGACTTCTGACTCGGGGGACAAGGCTTGGCACCTCATCAAACCTGATTAGAAAACACTCATAAAGGTCAGCGGACAGGCCTGGAACTATCGATCGGTTGTTGTTTTTTCTTTAGCCCTGTATCTATCTGTGTAAGATGGGAAGGACAAACAATCCCGATGAGAAAATAACGGGACCAGCCATTCCGGGGGGGACCTGGGCGAGGAGAGGGTGGGAAGGGGGAGCGGGGAGCCAACAAACTCAGGGATAAGGGAACAACAAGAGATCTAAAATTGATGCTGAGGAGGGCGTATAATGCCTGGTGGAGTTTAATCAAGTGCAGTGTATCCGAGAGGAATTATTGAGAGTCGAACAGAAGGTGAGCATGATAGTGGGACACAAGGAAGGTGAAAGGAAATAGAGGAAAGAAATAGGAGGAAAAAGCTATTTATAGAGGTATAGCTATAGGCATGTACATATGTAAATATCCAATTTATAATGAAAGGGATAGAGACCACTGTACATGTATTTATGTGTTAAGTATTAAGATAGCAGGAAGACTTTGGACCTCTACTGGAGGACTCCCTAAACACAAGAACACTTTGTTCTAATAACCTGGCACTCTGCAATACTCACCTTCCCAACACAATCCCTGAAGACAAAATGGGCGCATAAGCAAATGTGGTAACAAAAGTGGATGGTGCCTAGCTATAAAGAAATATAGCATCTGGGGTCTTAAAGGCTTGAAGTTAAACAAGTAGCCAGCCAGCAGTGAAGCAATTAAGCCCACATGGAAAAAGCACACCAGCCTGTGTGATCATGAGGTGTCGACAGGATCAGGTATCAATTGTCAAAAGATCCAAAACAAACAATTATATCGATGCAAACGAGGGGGTTTTAGAGTGGAGACCCAAAGCCCATTTGTAGACAATTGGGCATCCCCCCACAGGAGGGTTATAAGGCAGGGATGCTTCAACCAGGGTGCAGTATAGCACCGAAGAAGCACACAACATTCCTCTAGTTC